TTTGATGGAAGTTGTTACGCTAGATTGACAGGGATGTAACACCACCCAAAAAGTGTTTTTCGAAAATTCCCAAAATATCTTTGTTTACCAATTTTTTTTTTTTTTAAAGTCATATGTTGTCTACTGAATTTATACGTATCATTTCACCTATCGAACTTATAAATGTTCACTACAATTTTTCGAAAAAAGATGTAAAAAAGCCCTTGGATAGTCGTGTGCAGGAGATTTTATCTTAGCAAAAGTAGTAGAACGACTAAAACAATGTGCATCAAAAGTTTGAATGTTGAGTGGGAAAACTTTTAGTTATCACAGGTACAATTAATCTACATTTAAACGACTAAAGCACAATTAGACACTTGCTTTGCCACAGTTATATTTGGTAAAAATGGTTGAAATGGGAAAGAATGTATAAAGAAAATTTTGGGCAAAATAGGACTTCTATCTTATAAATTCTTGATGTACAAAGAAATTTTTAGCGACGAATTGCTAGGTGGTATGGACCGAGAAAAATCATAGCTTGAAACCCTTTTTTTTTTTTTTTAAGATGATGCAACTATGAGGAAATTAATCTTCATTTTCATCTATCTTGGAAAACCCTAGTCCTTGACGCGATGATTCTGCACGGGCTAATTTTCATATAAAATTAGTGTAACACCTTTTAGATAAACATGTATGCGAAACGAAAGTAATTGAGAAAACCTAATTAAAGAATATTTAAAAATTAGAAAAGAAAAAACAGCTCTATCCAAACAGAGTTAAGTTGCCATAAATAGGTTATGGAGTTTCGTTTTCTATATTTCTTCCCTCTATTTTATATTCTTTGAACAAGAAAATGAAAAGAGAAAAAGGTAACCTCTAGGAACTTGTGTTTAGATAGTGACTGCTTACGTTTAATTACTTTTAAAATACAAAAGAAATTCGACTAATTACCTTCCAAGTTAGCTACTTTTTAACAGAAGATTATGTCGAAAATGAAACACGAAATCATTGGCAAAGTGAAGCATTAGTACTTGTGATTAGATGGAACCTTATAAAGTAAAACGTACGGCTGCCTGCTTAAAACAGCTGTGCTTTTGTTCTTTGACAAGTTGAATTTTGTGATTGAAGCTCTCAGCTGCTTTTGAACAAAGTAATCTAGAAGTGAGTGGTGGAAAACAGGTGAAATCGACCTAAGAATTATTGTCCCACAGGTGCCGGTGGAGGTGGAATTTGTGGAACAAAATAATTACCCCACCTCCATGGAAGCGTATTAATTGGGTTCAATGGACAAATAAAAATCAATCCACAGAGTAGAGAATAGAGATTTTTAGTGTTTTGGGCTTGGAAAAAAATGTGTGAAAGGACAGATCGTAGGAGCAATGTGTCCAACACTCCAAAGACTGGAAATTCTATGCCCTTCTCGTACGAATTGCTCATGAATGCTGGGGTCTTGTGTCATGGGGGGTGAGGCCTCAAGAAATATTTATTGTGAGTTGCATGGTTGAGGAAGAGTGTCTTGAAGGGAAGAAAACTTGACTGGCACGGTATTACCAATGTACCAATTATTTAATTTAAAACTTTTCTTTCTTTTTTTCTTTTATTTTTTGAGCTCCAAAAATATGTATGTATGCCTAACATTCTTCTTCCCTTGTATCGTATTAAATTAGGGATAGGCAAAAATACCTGTTGATCCGAAAATCCGTCACATTTGATTCGATTCGATCCGAAAAATATGGTACCCAATTCATATTATTTGCTCGGATCAAAAGAGAGTCAAGTACCCGCTTATATGTTGGACGGCCGAGTTAGGATTACAGGATTAAAAACTCACGGATACTTGACCCGCTCCACACACACACATATTATTTATTTTATTTTATTGTTACACACATACTAAAAAATAATATTTTTAGAGCTAACTAAGTAATTTTATTGAACAATTTGCACTACAAATATGAGAGACTATAATTTGTTTACAAAATTTATTTGTAGAAGTCATTATCTTCTATTTTTAGGAAAGAGTTCTATTGATGTGACATATATCTATTTAAAAAAAGGTATATTGATTTTGAATTCTTTATTTTTTTCTTTTTTAATATTCTCTTTGCATGTTTGTTTTTGGGCAGGAGACTTTCTTTGAGGCAAAAAAAATCGTTGTTGAGTTTTAGATGAATATATAAAATATAAAATTAAATTAGTATAAATTATTTTTTAAAAAAAGTTAAATGATGATTGGATTGGAGTGGGTACCCATTGACTCAATCCTCTTTCAATAGGTATCCGATAGTTGAGTACCTACTGATGATATGCGAGACGATTAAGCGTCAGAAAATTACTGACCCGCAAGACATGGGTCTGATCAACCAAATTGTGCCCACCACTATAATTATTTTCTAAACCATCTAGAGCCAGATGTGGCACCCCCCCCCCCCCTCTCTTCCCCCTCTTCATGTTGTATTCTGAGGAGCTAATAAATAGTCAAGTGGCTAGTGGAGAATCGAAGAAATTAGAAGTACAAACCTTTCATTTCAGTTTACATGAGAGACATATTAATAAAAATGACGGAGTTTACTTTGACGCCTTCTCGTATCTTTGTTCGTGACGTAAAAGATATGACTATTGAACAAAAAACGTTAAGTCTTTCAACTGCCATGCTGACCTTGAGGAGAAGAAATTACATAGAAATATGACCATTGAACTACTATTTCTATACTACTACTACTATTATTCAAAAAAAAAAAAAAAAAAAAACTTGGAGACCGGAATCTTGCAAACAGCAAGTCTTGCCTTTTTCATTTTTTTTCCTCCCATCTCTCTTCACATCCTTTCCCACTCTCAACAGCTAGACGCAAGATTGAAAAGTTCGTACTTGTTGTAATCATCGAATTAACAATATAGAGGAAGCCATCGAGTGACATCTCCAAACAATTTTTATTGCTAGGAATAAATCATTCATGACCAACTCGATTGAGGGAGGAGGAGGAGGGGGGGGGGGCGCATAAATGGTCTTATAGAACCCATGGAAAAAACAACTGCTCAATCTTATATTGTAGGGCTCATAAAGTTATAATCAACTTTAATTGGATTGAACTATCTTACTTACCTATATTAATTCCACAGGTTACACTCACAGTTGGGCTTTGACAATGAACAAAAAATCAGGACTCTTCCCATAAAACAAAACAATTAGGACTCCCTCTCCAGAGGGAGAGGGGTAGAGAGTTGGATGCTTTGCAATTTAGGAGGATAGAAAGTACGCACTCCAACGTCTTGTACTTAATCATGATTAGGCTAATGCTTAATAAATAAAAAAAACCAAACACCAAATTTCTTTGTTGGCAAATTAATTGAGCACAGAAGTTAAGTGGAAAGGTGGAAAAAGAGGGAAAGAGGACAAGGGGAAATTTGGTGAAATTTGTCATCCCGAATGAATCAAGTTACCACTACAAAGACAGTAAGCCGATGAAGCATCAAAGAGTACAATGAGTAACTGTCCAGTGGAGTTAAAACCAATTGCAACAGCAAGCAATCCAAACACATTACTATCTTTAGTCAAAAGATTTACCCGGAAACTATGACAACCGTTCCTAGTCCCGGCTTAAAGGACAATTAGAACCGATGTCATGATAAACTTTTCTAGACTCAGTAGTACAGGCCAGGAACTAGATCTTTTGGTGCCCATTTCATTGATTGTTAAAGCATTTTCCTTTCTTGTTTATGACTCTGTTCCTAGGAATAGAATTAAGAAGAATGGCAGGGGCCGCTCGTAATTCTTTTCACTATTTGTAGCTGAATCTTTTCTTTTCCTTGATTTCGAAGCCGTTGAGGGTGAGGTTTCGAATTCCCAGGAAATGTACTCTCTTGTTAAGTCATTTTTTGGATGACAGCATTGAAAATTTGATTTATTCAGGGTCTGTTTGTTTGGACTGAAACTATTTTCAGGAAATTCGGGTGTTTGGCAGCCAAAAAGATTGGCAAAATTTTTTCCCGTGGAAAATCTTTTACGCCAGCAAGAGTAAAATGACTTCCGCATTTGTTGTACAGAAGTTATTTTCCAATAAACTCCCAGAGCTCATCAATCTCACGGTCCTTTACTAAACGAAAATTTTCAGATCATGGCTGAAAATTATCTATTGTGCCTAACCTAGAACTGTAGCTGCCTCCCTCACCACCATCACCGCAAGCCACCTCCCCCTCTTCCTTATCCTTCTTAGTACTATTCCTTTCCTCTCATACCGGCATACAAATCCAGCCATGGAGATAGAGAATCCATGTCCAAAGTGAGTCTTGCCTTGAGAAGTTTGCTGCAAAGAAAAATGTAGCAAAAGCATGCTATTGGAGGAAGATGAAATTTGCAAGCATCAGTGACATCTGATGGTTCTATCAATGACAAGGATCACATTCTTGATGCAATTTCTACTGACATAGCGATTAGGTAATTAGTATGACCTGTAATATGGATTTCCTGGTCATGGAGTATGATCTAATCTTTTGGAATTTGAAGTATTGGGATTGGGGTGGTGGATTGATATAGGTGTGGATGGAGTTCTGGTAGCTGGCAGAAGGAAACTGACGAATCTTTGAGGGGAACATTCTTGTCGGTTTTGGCTTTGAGGAGTATTTTCCAAAAGTGCACCAAACACATGAAAATGAAGGGAAATAATTTTTTCCCATGAAGATGATTTTCACTGAAAATGTTTTCCATGGGAAAAAAAAATTTACACTGAAACAAACGGACCTGAATGAATGTGAATTTGCCACCTTTTCCAGGACTAAGACGTCGTTTAGAAGCTCCGTATGCTATCAAGAGCTAAAGAGTGTCGCGGGTACAAGGGGAAAGTTTTTCTCTTTCTCTTTTTCTTTTTCTTTTTTTTTTTTTTTTTTAAAGGTTTCTAACACGATATAGTATGGTAAGGATTCAAAGTTACAATTTTTTTTGTTAGACGTCGACGTTCTACACCTACACCGACACCTACACCTATACTGTAGGGAAAAGGGATAGGTCCAATAGGGGCTATTGAACAAGCGTATAGTATATGCTTTGATCACCCAACAATGAGAAAAAGTAACAAGTTATACCACACAGTAAGATACAAGCTATTGGTGCAATCCAGAGTCCGAGAGTGGAAGACCAGGCTTCTGTTTAATGATACAGATCAAGGTCCCATGTCATAGCAAAACATGATTTGCTATACATCCAATAAGAAAACACAGCTTCATCATTATCCAGAAAGTCAAACATAAAACACATATATAGAGCTGACAGGATCACCTGTCATCATGATTTCACGGATAAGTTCATGAAATTATAGGCAATGCAAGTCGAGATGACTCACTTCCACAGCCTGCAGCGGAAGCCTGATTCAGAAATTCTTTTTCTTTATCTTCTTGGAGCGTTTCTTCTGCCTCTATAGCCATTCATAAAGTCATCACCAGCTAGACAGAGATACAAAAGTACACATAAGGCAGAACAAAAGAATGGATCTACGGGTGTTCATTACATGGTAGCTTCATTTAAAATAAGTATTGACCAGAAACAAACCATCAGTAGACTCTAGTTCTTCCATGTAAAGCACCAAGCAGGCCTGTAATTTTTCCTGTGAACCACAAAATAGAAGACCATTGTTCATTTGACAAAGCAGATAGAAAACAACAATTACCAATCCACAAAGGAGTAAAAGAAAATCTGACAACAATCACATCAATACTGCCGCATGTGTTCAAATGACTTTGAAGTTGTAGACAATGACTCTGGCATAATCTGCAGAAACTGACCTTAACAAAGAAGCATTATAGTCTACGCATATAATGAATGCAACCCCAAGAGAAAATGAATAACTTCGTGAATAATGATTTTAGATGCACCATGTAAAAAATGCAACGTGGAAACTAAGGACTAAAAACATTTGTTCAATGAAAGCCCAAGAAATAGGGTGGACTGAGATAAATGAACTTGAAAATTTACATAAAAGCTTAATGCCAAGTCAGATTTGAAATCTGTCATAAAAAGGAAAATTAAATGGGTGCATTTCCATTTGTTAAAGGGTGCCAATTTCTGGAAAGTATCCTAGTATTCAACTTTTGCTCATGGAATTGGGGGAAATTGCAGAAATTGCCAAAGACAAAATAGGTGGCAAGAAATGGATCAAATAGTCAAAAAAATTTCTTTTGGCATGATTAGTCACACCTAAGGGGCCTCAATGCAGGTTTTGTTCTCCTCACCTTATGTAGTTGTTTTCTAGCTATGAAAATACAAAAGTCTCTACTATCATTAACAACCAATTCTATGTATGGACTAAAGTTAGGAAACTGATGGGTAAGTCTGAGAATCTTGTTCAAAGAATTCTCCAAAGTATCTTCCTTTCATTGACAATGGTTATTATCTTTATCTGATATAGATCCGTTCCTCCAAAGTTTACTGCTAAATTACCCCCAAAAAAATGTCAAAAAGCATGCCTTTATCTTGTCGATAGCTTGTGAGAGAAGACTGACAACAAAAGGTGCACTGTGCAATTGGGATAAAATGGTCAATGTGCAATGGTAGCTGGAGAGCAGACTAGTTCAGCAAAGCCAAGTGAAATAGAGGCAAAAAAAAGGTCGTTTTCTAGGGAGGATAGCTGCTAATTTTCAGTAGACACGGAGTTAAAATTTTGGAGATGTTCTTGTTCTACAGTGACCACCAGAAATAAAACAACATGCTCTTTACAGGTTTGAGCGTTGTACTCAATCATGCATCCTGTAAATGATTGTGCATCTCATTCTTGATATGACCAATTTATCCAAAAAATAATTATTAAAAAAAGTGCACAGGTTAAGTCCTTGCTCCTTAACACATGATATCTATTGACTTAAGCACATCTTCAAGTTCTTGGCTCATATGCTAATTGCTTAAATGAAAGTCACAGCTCACAACTTATAAATTTGAACAGAAGATATACCATAAATTTCTTAGGGATAATTTCAGAAAACTCCCCTGAGGTTTCTGACAATTTCACTGAACTCCACTAAGGTTTGGAAAATTACACTTACCTCCCTTGATTTGATAGTTTTAGTAAAAAAACCTTAAAATAATATTGACTTGGTCAAATTTTTAAGTGAATACCCAAAAATGCTCTTGTATAATGAGTTTTAATTTACTTCCCTATACAATTATAAGATTATTTAGTATAATTATAAGGAAAAGGTGCCAAATTTTTCATGTCCATAACTACTATTTGATAAACAATTATAATAATAATAATAATTTTATCACTATGATAGAATACTTTTGATGATATTTATTATGCATTTAGATTTATAACATAGAAAAGAAAATGTTGAAATAATTCATTTAGAGTTTATGCATTTTTTGAGTAGTGGGATTATCAAAATTTAGTAGTGGCTATGGGCCATTTCTTTTTGATTTATTGTTAATTTTAATACCAAAAAATAGAAAACAATAATCAGCAAAAACATTGGATTACATATAAAGTTAACTCATAAAAAAATCACTAGTTCAACATTTGATTACAATAGAAACTAGAGATAACAGTGATAATTCTACAATTTTATTGGCAAAAAATTGAAAAAAAATGAATAAGAAGGCAAAAGAATGATTTTAAAAGTCATTCTAAGTATAAGCATACCAAACAAGGGAATTTCATTAAAATATTTAAGAGTAGTATTGTCATTTTAAATGACGAAGGAGGAATGTGTAATTTTTAAAGTCTCAAGGGAGTTAAATGAAATTGTTAAAAACCTCAAGGGAGGTTTCTGAAATTATCCCAATTTCTTAAATAACTACAAATCTAGCAAGTAATATATTTCCCTTTTAAACGGTGGTTATCTACTTGCATTTTCTTGAACTATAAAGAGGATATAGATTTAGGATAACCTTAGAGAGAAAAAAAGATATCACTTACTCCAATTTTTGCCTTTTGTTCTAGGACTGCCGATCTCTTGTCAAGATTTGCCACATAACGGAAACGCCGCCTGGGGTTCTTGACAGGCATGACAAGCTTTCTCCACAAGCTCAGCTCCTCTTCTGATCCATGCTTTGCCGGTACATTGAATTCCTTCAGTAGCTTCTCCATGCTTAGGCTTTTATCCACTCACAGATCCTGTAGCTACCTGTAAGGTTTCTACAGCATTAAGTCCCCACCAATAAATCCACAGCAGCAACTCTATTCAAGGAATACTGTGAATGAGCTTGCTCTGAAATTGACCCAAAAAAATCCACATTTGACTATTTAGTTTGCCAAGATGAGTCCAAGCCAGCCCATGACCCATTAATGACGTAATTGTTTCTTTCTCTTCTTTCTAAGAACATTACCCAATCATTTACCTTGGCTAAATGTCTGGACTTCTTCTCTTCTCTTCCCAAGAAACTTTGGTCCCCACCACCAATACTCTCTGACTCCACCCTCCCCTCCTCCCACACTTGGCACAACTCTACTTTCTCAGCTTCTGCTTGCAATCTTCCCCCCACAGTATATTATTTGTCTCAAAAAAGCAACTACTAGAAAATATATTGACTAAAATATTTTATCATGTCCTACTAATATGAGATATTGATCTTCATCCACATAGGTTATTTGACCTTCCATACTCCATGTCATTACTAAAATTGAAAGTTGCAGCAATTCTTTTCCTCTTTAGAAGGCTAACTTCAATAGAAGAAATCATTCCAAATAGCCAGATTCGATTTCCTTCAAAACAACAACTAGCCTAAAGAAAAAGTTTCCACACAGTCATAAGTGAGAAACGCTGCAAATAAGTAGGCAACTGAAGTTACGTAAGCAGCTATTTCCTAAATAGGAACCTAATCACAAACTATATGTGTTTCAAAAATAAACTTGAGAAAATGCTGAAACTTAATGAACTGACTATAAAACTCTGTAGCATTTTAGTTCATCAACAAAATAATTATCTAATATTATCTCCTTTTCAGCACAACCTGGACCACAACACACGATGAACTTATATGAACTCCATCCACCTGATAAACCAGTAGCATATACAGTCAAACGTTAAATTATCCACCATACCTTAAATCCTCTTGTATGCCCATATACAGTCAAACGTTTAATTATCCACCATACCTTAACTCCTCTTGTATGCCCAATATCACTTCTCCTATTTCACTAGCCCATTTACACAACATGAAAAATTTTCCTTTACAGCAAACTAACCAATCATATGCAAGTTCAAAATTGAAACATCAGTTATCATTATTGATTCTGTTGCAGGGTCTTAAAACATTTCTACGCACTTTTATAGAATTAAACCTAAATAACCAATTCATCTAAATATAGGCTTGGTTCAAAATCAGGGGCACAAAATAAAACACCAACTATGACAATTCATCATACAAGTAGTGGGCAAAATGTAAAAACCCACGTGATCAAATTCATGTCTTGATTATCCGACCACCCTAAATCCGTGGACCCCACACCAATCATTAGAGTCGGATCATATGAAATTAAATGCAGAACAAGTTATAACCTTTAAGAAATCATAGCTGCAAAGTCCTACACAACAAGATCAAGGGGATGAAAAAGAAACGAAAAAGCCCATAATTACCAGCTTCGGAAGATTGCTTTTCTTGCAAGCGGATGGGTTAGAGGAAGAGAGCGAAGAGCAAAGAGTGAAGAGCATGATTAGTTGGAGTATAAAGTGCACGTAAGGAGTAGGAAAGCTTCCTAGCAACAACACGGCTTCCACAGTTGGTCGTTGACGAAATGCAATAAATTATAAATCCCGCGTCACCTTTGTACGTAGCAGATGCAGGAGGGGCGCCCATGGGCACCTCCATACGGTATCCGGTTTAAAAAATAGTTAATCACAAGAACTCCCCTAAGGTAGAGCCACTTTTGCACCTTGTCACTTAACATTTTTTTTTTTTCAAACTTCATCCCCTAAATTGTTAGTCAATTATAATATTGTGTAAAGATAATATCAAAAAGATACTTGTACTCCTAAGAGTTAACTATGGTGAATCTGCTTAAAATATATGTTGTTTTGCGCTTTATCCCCTAACATCATTTTTTAGTTTGTTTGTTACTAAAATCATTAGTAAACTCTAATGTTTGATAACACCCAAAACAATTGATATCTAAAAAATCAATATTCCAAACATAATAATAAAAAATAATATTTTTATATATCTTGCTAATTTGACTTAATAATAAGAAAAAAATAAAAATTGTTATTAAAAAAATTAAAATGTGAAAATATTTTTAAAAGTCCAAAAATGATCGAAATACTGTTCGTTGCTCTTTAGAGATGTGCATACGGTTAAAATTTTCTTTTAGTATCTAGATTTTTTTTTTTTTTTTTTTGTATATGGAAGTATACAAATTTTTTGTTGGCAATACAAAAAAAAAAAAAAAAAAAAAGGGATAGAAACATGGTTGATTTGGAGTTCAAAGTTTCCAGAGGTGTTCTTTTAATTTACCAGGCTTATATGCCATTATAATTTATTTAGATTGCTAAATTTTTCTAAAATTTTTTTATTGCATCTAAACATGTTTTTCAATCATCTTTCTATTTTTTTTCCACCACATTTTATCTTATAAATATCAAATTGCAAAAAGTGCTATTATTCTGAAAAAATTTTAAATAATTTCCGATCCAAACAAACCCATCCATAGACCTTTAATATTATTTTCATAATTTAATTTTGCACTAATATTTTTTTTCCTTCTGACATGAGATGAACGAGATATTTTTCTTTATCTAAAAACTTATAATTATGGGAATAAAATTTAACAAAATCTATACCTACAAATATATAATATTTTTATTATTATGTGAAGAATATTAATTTTTTTAAACAGTAACAAGCGTGTATACTACTAACACGTTCTATACCAAGCGGAGTCTATTAAAAGGATATTAGTATATAAAAATAAAACAAACGGTTACAAAAGAACTTCTGTAACAAATTATAACAGCGAAACAGTTTTCTACTAGAGTGTTCTATCATTAGTCAAAGAGTTTGCATCTATCTTGAGCTCAACTACTGACACTTGGCCCTTCTCCCCGCAACCTGTGCCCCAAATGAAATAAGAAGAGCAAAATTTCCCAAATACGGGGATGAACCAGTAAAGGGTTCAATGCTGATTGGAAAAAAAAATACGATCCGACTAAACTTGAGGCCGCCATTGTATCCTCATAATTACTGCTCAGATTTTCCCCCCTAATCTCTCTTATATGAAACTCATTTGGCTTCAAAAAGCCAGCAGATAATCATTTGCCTCATCTGGTTTGAGCAACCTCAACTGAACTTCCGCGGTACGCTAGAATGTTGGTGAGGCAGTTGTCATTTGACGACCAGATGGAATTTGCCAACTGTGTCAAACCTCTGGATCGATGCCTGGATTGCTAGGATGAGATCCAGTGGTGCCAGGATCAGTGCTTGAAATAAAAGGTACTTGCACAGCAGGCGCAGGCGCAGGCGCAGGCGCAGGCATAGCCCCAGACCCAGAAAATCCGTTGCCCTGTCTGCCTGGAGACATGGGAGACATACCTGACTCGGAAGGAACATCAGCATTTGGAACGTTTACATCCATCTGATCAAACTTAGTTTTGCGTCGCCGCCTCTCATATCTCTCATAGCTGGGGCTGCGGCTGCGGCTTCGGCTTCGGCTGCGCCTTGGGCTATGGCTGCGTGACCAGCTTCTACTCCTACTGTGGCTCCGACTGTAACTTCTACTCCTGCTTCGGCTTCGGCTTCGGCTTCGGCTTCGGCTCCTGCTCCTGCTCCTGCTATAACCCCACGTTCGTACCCTCTCGGGACTGGAGCTGTAGCTTCTGCCTCTACTTCTATCTCCAATCTCTCTTCTATTATCAAATCGGCCCCGTCCACGTCCCCTACCACGCCCTCGCCCATCCATGCTATAACGATCATTCCTATCCCAACCACCAGGGCCACCACCACCACCACCAAATCCACCGTCTCTCCCTCCACGGCCACCAAAACTACCGTACCTCATCCCACCACGGTTGCCAAAGCCACCACGGCCACCAAAGCCACCTTCCCTCATCCCACCACGACCGCCAAAGCCACCATCCCTCACCCCTCCACGGCCACCAAAGCCACTATCCCTCATCCCACCTCGGCCACCAAAGCCAAAATCCCTCATCCCACCATGGCCACCAGATTCCCAACGTCCACCACCACCACCACCATCAACATCAGCAGAATCAAAACGATTTATCCCACCTCGATCCCTGCTGAAGCTTGGTGCACCTCGTAAAGCCATATCTTTTACTTCTGGCGGTACTTGCTGATCTGCCCCCTCCAATACTTTAACTAGATCTGCAGCATATTTCCAATCCTGCTCAGAGAAAAAGGTGTAAGACACACCTGTAGCACCAGCCCTGCCAGTTCTTCCAATGCGGTGAACGTAATCTTCAATGCCCGTTGGGAAGTCATAATTGATGACAACCCTGCAAGATAGAGCATTAGGACAAGGCAGATAAGGAATTAAAACCCATGGTCTTTGGTCTAAACAGTCCAAAGGAAATATACCAACTAGACAAAAAGAAATAATTGCGGTAGAATGTTTACTGATCCTGAAAAAGTAAATTAGTCAATACATAAAAGAAGATACTTTCTCACCTTATGTCTCGGATATCAAGCCCACGTGCTGCAACATCAGTGGCCACTAAGATTGGGGTCTTCCCAGATCGAAATTGATTCAGAACCCAATCCCTCTCGCCCTGATTCTTGTCTCCATGAATTGCAGCAGCCCCAAAGTTGCGACCAATACTACGTGCCAGCTGATCACACAACTTTTTTGTTGAACAGAAGATGATAATTTTGGAACCCCGTTCTTGGGATCTAAGAATTTGCTCCAAGCGTCTCTGCTTCTCCATTTGAGGGACCACTTCAACATACTGCAATAGACATTTTTTTCACTTATTGACCAAATGACACCCAAAAAAAAAAAAGGTAAGGCTTAGCCTAGCGACAAATTTCGACACATTCTGGTCAAAATACCAGAAACTCCACTGTTCAAGTCAACAAATCCACCACAAACTAAATAGAGAAAAACACACCCATAGTTTCAGCTCAGATGCTATTTTAGGTTATAAGGAGTAACTCACAGGATCTTCCAGATAAGTGCCATTTACATGCATGGACTGCACCCTTCCCGTGCCCCATCATAAAACTACCTCACTTATTACCAAAATTAAAAAAAAAATGAAAGAAAAGAGGAAAAACTATAGAAAGTAGGCACACTAAAAAATTACATTATACTTAAAATACATGGTTGACCACTCAAAGTTGACTTGGTTAAAATTAAACAGGCAACCACAAGAAAATTACTTACTCCAGATTGCCAACAGAACCAGTAATTAGAGCAGAAAGCACCTCGTTAGTTGTAACATGAATAGGACCAACCCAAAAATTCAGCCATGACAAAAACCAAACTACTAACTTCTAAGCTAGCACACGTCACCTAGAAATTTTCTTGTACTTATCTGTCTTAGGGCAGGCATTTCTTTGGATGACAGAGGTAACATCCAAAATGTAGCATTACCTGTGTGATGGACTTATTGGCAGCAAGTTCATCTACACTCCCAATGTTCACCTGTATTGGATTAACAAGAAGATCATTCGCTATTTTTCTCACTTCTTTAGGCCAAGTAGCAGTGTACATGAGCGTTTGTCTCCGTGGTGGTATTTCATTAACAATCTTGCGAATCTGAGGTT